AAATTTGAAAAACAATTTGTTGAAATTCTATCAAATTAATTTTGTAATTTTTCTTACAATCAAAAGAAAAGTTTTTTTTTTCTTTTTTTATTCTGTCAACTTTTCATATGATGAACGAAAATGAATCACAATTCGTGACATTATTGTTGATTCACATTTAAAGAAATACTACTAATTAATTGAAAATAACATTTGAAAGAACTGTGTAATTTATTTTTTCTTTGTCATCTTTCAAGGGATTCTTCGCTTCTTTCTTTTCTCTTCAAAATAAATTAATAAATTTGTATTGTTTCAAAAATTTCTCACTAATTGCTCTGATTTTATTTTATTTGTTTATTTATTTGCTAAAAATTTTTGTTTCATTTGAAAATAAAAATAATCTTTAAAAAAAGGATGAAAAATTAAAGATTAAATTTTAATCATGCATAAATTTAAATTCCAATAATACATTATTCATCTATTACTAAATCTTAATCATTTATTTAAATGTGATATTATATTTTAAAATGGATAGTAATAAAGGAATTATTTTTCAAATTTATTATCAATACTGTTTTATGAAAATGAATTTATCCCTATTTAACTGAATTTGTTCATTTTCATTTCAAATATCAATTGCAATTATTTGTTTTTTTAAAATTTTTTATTTTTTCCGATCTAAATTTTTTATTTTTTTTTTAAAATTTCATTTATTTCATTTACTAAAGATCACCTGAAAAATCAAATTATCATCAAATCTTTATTATCAAAATTTCTTTTTCTTTCAACTTGCAGACTTGATAACATTGTTAAAAAAAAAAAGATCATCAAATTAAAATTCATCAAAATTAAATTTTTCTTTTTTTGATTTGCAGATTTGATAACATTGTTAAATTTCCAAATTTCAAATAATACAAATAGTTTCAAATATCCAAAATGATATTTCAAATTCAAATATAATTTCATATTGTTTAAATATTGTAAATGATTTGCTATAATGAATGTATGGTAATTGTCATTATTGTCGTTGTTGTTGTTGTTATTGTCATCGTCTAGTAGTAGTAGTAGTAGTAGTAGTGACAATTTATTTTCAATGATATGAATTGGAATGATTAAACCTTGACCGATATATTAGTATTGCTTAAATTGGAGTAATGGGTACAAATACTTTCGTCCCCGTTCTTATCCTTTTTCAATCTTCCGTTTCGTAATTTTCTTCCTTGCATATCACATTTTTCGCCTTCTCATTCCTATCCATTTGTGATATCTTTAATGAAATATTATTCATACATATACATACGTATCAATGCTTCCCCTTATCATTTTATCAATAACAATAATGATAACAACATAAACGACAACAATAACAACAACAACAGTAACAGCAACAATAAGGAATAATTCATCATCTAAAATTAATTAAGCAACAACAACAACAATAAGGAATGATTCATTATCTGAAATTAATTAAACAACAACAAGGAATGATTCATCATCTGAAATTAATTAAACAACAACAACAACAAGGAATGATTCATTATCTGAAATTAATTAATCTTAAAAAGAAAATAATTAAATTGGAAATGATAAGATGTAGCAAAAAGAAAAAAGTTTCATATTAACAAATATATTGTTTTCTAATCTAATATTATTCAATAAGATTTATTCCAAATATAATTTTATACATTTAAAAAAAAAGATTGCTATTATTAATTACTACTTAATAAATGAAACAAAAACTATGTTTTATGCAATTTTTTTAAAAACATTATAAACTAATAACTTATTATCGCTATTAATGACTTTTATATCATTAATGGTATAATTTTTCTTTAAAAAATATTATAATTAGAAATGTTTAAATTATTAATATAGCATTAGGCATTATTTGATTTTAAATGAATGATTGTCATTTCTAATTTTAGTTTGTTTATATTTTAACATTTTCATTTCGTTTAAAAATTACGGAAAAGTTCGGTCCCAAAGCTAGAAAGTTGGTTTAAAATCAAAAAAAAAATATATATATATATATATATATATGGTTTCAATACACATTCATAATATATATTAATCGAATATATGAATTTGAAAAAGGAAAAAAAATGCAATTTTTGAGTTTAAAATCAAAAAACATTTATCGAATAAATAGTTTCAATCTTAAATAACAATGAAATTTACGAATATATTCTATCGGAAAAGAAAATGAAGTGATTAAAAATTATTCATTGAAATAATATTGTTTAAATTCTCAAGTATTATTATTATTATTATTGTTAGTATTATTGTCATTATCATTACTGTTATTATTACTAATTATTATTATTATTACTATTAATTATTATTATTATTGCTGTTATTATTGTTACTGTTATTAATTACTACTGCTGAAACGATATTTGTTGGGATTAGTTAATTGCTCACTATATATTAATTATTCAGTTTGAACTGTTGAAAGATTTTTTCAAATTAAATAACGCAAAAAAATTCATTCATTAATGATTAATTAATTTACTGACCTCTGTTATTTTCTTTTTTAGAACGAAATTGAATTTGTATTAAAATTCAAAACTGATACTTGGATTGGTATTGGTTGGAAACCAAAAAAAATCTGATGGATACTGTCCTTCACAGCAAAATTTTGAAAATTCAAAGGTAAAATCTCTGGAAGATTTAATGCCGACATCATTATCATCATCATTATCGTCATCATCATCATCATCATCATCATCATCGTTATCACTATCATCATCATCATCACCATGGTGGACATCTCAAACAGCTGCCAATAAACAAACTGAAACTGTTACAAATGAAGTGCTCCCCACTGAATCAATCAGCAATACCCAATCTTCAGGTGTGAATTATACTGTTAAAATTAAAAATGAAATTTTGAATTCGAAAGAAAAAAAATTGCTAAAAGAAAAATTAATTCACAAGAATAAATTCTTTTGGATATTAAATTTGAAGCAAAAAAAGAAGGCGAAGTTGAGTAAAGTTAAAATATTCAAAATTCCAAATCATCATTAATTTCCTACATTTTTTATTTTTAATTACAGTATTCCACACTTAAAAAATGTTTCCGTTTGTTATTCCATTTTCTTTTTCTTGTAATTAAAACGAAAAAAAAAGAAGTCCTATAATTAAAATAAAAGATATGGAAAATGTATGTTGATTTGGAATTTTAAATATTCTAATTTTACTCTACCTTTTTTTTTTTTGTTTTGTCAAATTTAATATCTCAAAGAATTCCTGTTTGCCTAGGAAATTATTATCGTAATAATATAGCAGAATTGAATAATTACAGAAATTTGTAATGAAAATGAAGAATTCTCTCATTGTCCGGAATTCACTCGTCAATGTGAAGCATCTTGTGATTGGACAAAATTTCCGGAAACAATTCCGAATTGTCCACGTAGTTGTGGTACACCAAAATGCGTCTGTAAAGAAGGCTTTGTCCGATCAGCAAATGATAATAATACCTGTGTACCATTTCATTTTTGTTCAGAAGAGGTAAGTAATGAACATGAAAAAAAAAAAATTCAAATTTTTTTTTGATATTTTACCTAAAAACATATATTTTACTTTAAAAAGACTAATTATTTTTCTCTTTTTCTTTTTTTTTTTATTAGCATGTACTTAAGGAAATATTAGCAAAGTTTTTTGTTTTTGAATTTAAAATGATTTCAACTTTTTTTTTTAAAAGGAAGTGACGTCATTTATTTTACAATTATAGGCTGAAATAGAATGTCCAATTAATTCAACTTGGGCAAAATGTGGTATTGCTTGTGAGCCAACATGTGAAAATATGTATGATACATCACCATGTCCAGCACATTGTGATGAACCAGCCTGTACATGTGCTGATAATTATGTTCGACACAATGGAAATTGCATTTTTTGGGGTGATTGCCCAAGTAATGATTATCATTATCATTATCATTAATTTTTGCTTTATCTATGGTTAAAAAAAGAATTTTGAAATCTTTGATTATTAATTTAATTAGTGTATGATTGGAGAGATTACCTACATAATGATCATCGTTATCATTAACTTTTGCTTTATCTATAATCACTTTTTTTTTTTTGAAATCCTTGATCACTAATTTAATTAGTATATGATGTTAAATAGAAATTAAATTTTAAATTTTAAGTTGAATAATTCAAATATTAATTGCAATTTGGGAAATATTTAAAATGATAAAAAGATTGCAAAATAAATGTTTTATTTCAGATCTTGAGCAACGTTTTGCATCCAATTTTCCCATTTCAACATCAATGAAAACAGCTTCAGGAGAAGGATCAATTATTGGTCAAGTGGATTTTAATCCAGGAAATATTGGCAATCAATCAGAAATAACAACCGTTGCAGCAATTGGAACAACCATTGGTACTAAGACAATATCTGGTAGTTTAACTTGTAGCATCAATGAAACAATTAATGAATGTGGTCGAGCATGTGAAACAAGTTGTAATAATGTAAGTTTAAATTTTTAAATTCTGATATGATTTAATTTTTAGATTCTGATATTACTTATTTTTAAATTCTCATATGATTTAATTCTTAAATTTTGATATAATATAATTTGAACTCTGGCATGATTTAAATCTTAAATTCTGGCATAATTTAATTCTTAAATTCCGATTTAATTCTTGAAATTCTTGAATTGATTTAATTCTTGAATTCTGGTATAATATTCAATTCAAATATTAAAATATTAAATTGAAACAGTGATATTTCAAATTTTATAGTTTTACAATTGTGTAACATTGAATGAACGATAATAGTACTAAATTTGGTTAATCCAAAATCCAAATTTAATCTAATCCTTTCAGGTTTTTTACTAGCCTTTCCGATCATAAAGCAAAAATGGAAAACGGAATTTGATTGAAAGAAAAAAAGAAATTGAGTGTAATTTATTATGATCTGTTTTAGCCAACTGATAACTTTTTAACTCTTCTGATATACATTTCATTTTTGTTATTTTATTTGAAACACTTGAAATTAATCTTTTTCAATTCCATTTCAAAAAAAAAGTACCAAATAATTCAGTCTATTCAATGAATTGCAGGTATATTCTCGAGAAAAATGCACGCGATGCTATCGACCTGCATGTGCATGCATTCATGGTTATGCACGAATTGATGATCGATGTATTTATTGGTCTGATTGTCCACGTGAAAGTAAAAATTTTGTAATAAACAAAAAAATTCTTAAAACTTAGAAATTTTTACTGTTCGAATAGCTTGTTTTTTTTTTGTTTATTTTATTATTTGTTTTCTTTTGTTTGTCTTTTTTATTTCTTTTTCGTTCGTTTGTTATTTGTTTTTTCTTTTGTTTGTTTTTGTTTCCTTTTTCTTGTTTGTTTATCGTTTATTTTTGTTTATTTTTTCGTTTCTTTTCTGTTTTTTTTTTCGTTCGTTGTTTTGTTTGTTTTTCGTTTGTTTTTGTTTTTTTTTTTTTGTTTTCTTTTTTCTTTTTTTTTCCTTCATTTCTTTTTCTTTTAGATCGTCGTTTATCACATACTCGACAATATAATCCTTCATCATCGTTGCGATCAACAAAAAAAAACATCAGTGACAAATGGTGTAGAATATGTAAATGGAACAGAATCGATCAATTCATCTATTAAGCAATCAAATAAACACGACAATGAAATACATGAATTGAATTCGGCTGATGTTGAAGCAATTGTAGATGATGCAAATATCGAATTACAGAATATATCCAATACTAGAATTACTCCTTTATTGGAATCCGGTACTTTTATTCATTCATTTCCTTACTGATTCATAATTTTCGGCTTTTTTTTTTTTGATTTTTTTCCTTATTCTTCTAAAGTAAATTATTTAAGTACGGCTATTTCTAAAGTATTTAATTTTTTTTCTAAAGTAAACTTTAATATTTAATTTAAAAAGTTATTCTTACCTTCCTATTTGTCGTTTTAATTAATTCGATTTAAAAAAAAAAAAAACGAAAAAAGTAGTTTAAAAGACAAAGATTCAAATGAAACCAAAGAGAAAAAAAAAATCAATGATTTATGCTGTCTTTTTTTTCTCTTCAATGTTTAAAATTTGCTAACAAATTTAATCATCTTATCACCATCTTCCCTCTCTCCCTCTCTCCCTTTCTCTCTCTCTTTCCCTATCTTTTAATTAAAATTCTCTGATAATTTATTCTTTTTTCTCCAAATAATGCTATTTTAGGAGTTGCTGGTGATGTTTGTTATGGTGATTGGCGTTGGCCACCTGGATGTCGTGATTGTGATTATCGCATTTCATGGAATTATTTAGATGATACTGATGAGATTGAATTTTCAATTGAGACACATGCACCATCAAATTGGTGGACAGGTGTTGGTTTCTCACCTACCGGTACAATGGTAAATTTTTTTTTAAATTTGTCATCTTTATCAATCAATTTGATTAATATATTCATTTATTATCAACTAGATATGATTTTAATATGATAAAAATTATAAATTAACAAGAACTTTTTTCAGTAATAGAAAAAAAAAGAAAATTGAAATTTTACTTATGTATTATTTATTATATTTAAAAAAATATTTAGGTTGAAGCTGATATTATTATTGTAAAAAGTCGAAATGGTGAATTATCCTTGCATGATATGTATAGTACTGAATATGGTATACCACGTGAAGATAGTAAACAGGATGTTTATACACCAACAGTAATCGGAACACATGTTAATGGTGTATTACGGGTACAATTTACTCGAAAACGTGATACTGGTGATCGAAAAGCTGATCATCATTTTTCGGAATCTAATTGTTACAAATTTTTATTCCCAGTTTCTGGTGGACGATTAGAACCGGTACGTATCCACTTTTTTTTTCCTGTTCAAAATCCTTTCTATCTTTAGATAAATCATTTTAAATTCCTTTTTTTGTTTTAGTTTTAAAACGTTTATATCATTTTAAAATTAATTTCGGATATTTTGATATCAAATATTAGAGTGGGAAATAATTCGATAATTTGAATAATTTTTATTTACGTGAACTTTCAAAATTGTACTTAAAGTATTTTCAATATATTGAAAATGATACTATTGATAATGGTGAAATTTTTTGCAGATAAAAACAAAAAAAAGGAAGTGAGAATTGTTTGAAATATTTAAGCTATAAAAAATTATCATCATTTGTTCATTTTTTTGGATAAAATCGGAAATAAATTTGAACATTATCAAATAATACTTGAGAACTTAATTGTTATCAGTTGGTAATACCTGAGAATTTAATTTTTATCAGTTAATACTCGAGAACTTAATTCTTATCAGTTGATATTCGGGGATTTAATTGTTATCAGTCGATGCTTGAAAATTTAATTGTTATCAGTTGATACTGAAAAATTAATTACTATGAATTAATACTCGAACAATGGGAAAAAATTTATCAAAATTTTCTTTTTTGCAAATAAGAAATTTGTTTTATGTCAAGATTTTATTTTATAATTTGCTTTAAGAATGGCCAATTATCAAAGCATATTAGTATACCGCATGTATCAGAGAATAAAATTTGCATTCAAAGTTGTACTGCTCCACAAACTCTTCAGGGTCAGTTTTGCTTTTTTTCTTTTTTTTTTAATTACATTGATAATCTGATAATGATAAATTAAAATGACGAATTTTAAATTTTATATTTGATTATTTAGTATTGTAAGTATTGAACTGTTAAATAAGAAATCACATAGTTAAATGTTTTTTCTTTCGAATTTTTTTTTAATAAAATTTTTTTGTCTTTTTTTAAATCTTTTTTTTCCCAATTTTTTGTAGCAAATGATAAAGAGTGATAAATTGATTGGATAAAAATCACATAGCCATAAATGAAGTAAGAAGTTCGATTAATATCGAAATAATGATAAGTAATTAAATTACAAAAAAAAAAAAGAGATTTAATTAAGATATAATTTTAGCTACAAGTTCATGTGAAACCGAATATCGTTATCCGGCTGGTTGTAGTGGTACAACATGTGATTACATTGCTAAATGGGAATATAGTGCAGCTAGGAAAGATGTAAAATTTGAAATTACATCAAAAGAATTAGGTCGTTGGACCGGAATTGGCTTTTCACGTGATGGTCAAATGGCAAACTCTGATATGTATACCGGTTGGGTGTTTGATGGTAAAGCATATGTTACGGATCGATTTGCATACGGTCGTCAACTTCCGGCAATTGATCCAGCTGATCGTCAAGATATTTATGAAATTACTGGTAAAGCAGAGGATGATATTCAGGTATATTTATTTTTATTCAATTATTCAATTTATTATTTTATCTATTTATAGCAAATAAAGTTTTAATTAATAAAAAATAAATATTAATGAAAAAAAAATTATTTTTTATCATTCATTTTGCAGACAATAACATTTCGTCGAAAGGTATTACCAGCTGATACAATTACTGATTTTCCACTTAATGTATGCTATTATTTCCTATTCCCAGTTGGTGGTGGACGAGTTTTAGCACGAAAAAGTGAAGATTTCCAAAATGCTAAAACACCAATCGGTTATCATGATCTTTATCAGCCTAAAGTTTCACGTACAAAAATTTGCATTTGTGATCAGGTAATTAATTACTCACTCTAATAATCTAATTTCTATGATGAAGTATATAATTTGTTCTGTATTGTCGAGATTTAATACTGATGTAGTAATTAAATATTACTTCAAATCTTGACAAGTATTAAATTCAGTGTCGAGATTTGAAAGTTTTTTCTTGTCAAGATTTTGAAACAACTTTCGTTAGCTTTTTTTTTCCATTAGATAACTTATCCTTTGGAATCATACTTCACTGAATCATTCTTTGGGATCATAATTCACGGAATCTATTTTCGGAATCATATTTCATTGAATCTACGGAATCATACTTCACTGAATCTATCTTCGGAATCATGCTTCATTGTATTTTTCTTCGGAAGGCCAATCTTTTATGGAATATGTTTCCATTGATTAATAATTAGTAACACTGCAGATCAGCCTACCATATGCTATTTTATAAACTACATTAAAACAATTTAAATAAATTACAATGAAATGATTATAAAATTTTTGAGAATGGGATATCAATTGCTTCTGATAATGCACCATCGGGAATTCGAAATCGTCGTCGAATAAGTCAACCAAATGTGACATCCCGTCAAAAGCGGCAATTGCAAGATCCATTCGAAGTTCAAATTGATCCTTTTGCAGGAATCGATAAAGGCATGCATTATTCATATAAACCGGGAATCAGAATCACAAATACATTAAACTGTATTTAAACAATTTGAATTGCATGAAAAATTAATGAATTCATATTCCTATTATTATTGTATTGATTTTTGTTTTTAATTTCTGTTGCAAATTTAAATTGTAATATTTTGTAATAAATTAAAAAGTAAAAGTAATATTATGAAGGTTTAGAATAAGTATATATTTTAGAAATTATACAAATGAGATTCTTTAAAAAAAAAAAAACCTGAAATTTTTCCAGTACCGGAACGAGATTTCCCAATTGAAGAGAAGATTTCAAAATTGGAAGGTGAAAAATCACCAAACCATTTGTCATTAGAAATCAAGCAATCTACCACTATGGCTGATATTACTTTTACAACGACAAGTTCGATCGATCATTCGATAATTGACGAAAGTAATATTCCTTCATAATATCAATTCATTAAGTAATTAATTTTTTACTAATTGCATCGTTTGTTTCAGTGAATGCATCAATTCAATCAGAAATTATAGAATCGGAACCAAAACGATCAGCTATTTTTTCTATCAATACAACTACTCTTGTAGATGTATCTAAACCGGAATCCGAATTATCCGTAACAAAAGAACCGAAATCAATATCAAAGTCAGCTTCACAGCAATTAAAAGAAGATGGAAATGAAAAAAGTAATTTTCATATGATTTGTTAGCAGTAATTTTTTTCAAATTTCAATCCATTACCATGTTTAAAATAATTTTCAAATTTTTCTAATTAATTAAATTTATAGTGGAACATCCAATGGATTGTCTTGATATGGTGATAGGAGTGATAATTGATGATATCTCACAAGTACGCGATTACTATTCTTTCCCACAAATTACACCACAACCGGATGAATTTTTTGGTGGACAAGATTCATTAACTTCAGCAACTGCTTATCAACAAGATGGCATTACTACGGTCATTTTTCGGAAACCTTTAGCAGGTGTTACTTATTTATATCAAATAATTTCATTGATTTAATCCATTCAAAAAAAAAGAGTAAATAAATTCAATAAATAATAAGTAATAATATCTTTTACCTTTAAGCATCTGATCAAGCTGATCGAACAATATCATCAGATGAGACTATAGTGATTTGGGCAAAAGGTGTAAAATTAGCGCCAATATCTGATGAATCTATTTCTCAGGTCAAATTTTACCCTTTCTTGATCTTATCATTTTTAAATAAATTATTTCACAAAAATGAAGATAACAAAATGAAAATATCATATAACCTAATTTTATCACAAATATCATATTTGAATATTTGATTTTATCACAGATACCTGATTTCATTGATCTTATTTACTTATCATTAAACTGTTAAAACTTATTCAATAAATTTTCTATGCAAAAATAAATTTAAGAATGCTTTGGCGAAAACAACAACTCCATTTCTGGATGATGAAAATAGTCAAGGACAATTAATTATCAATTTCTTTGGTTTGTGTTTTATTAATTTTTTTTTTTTGCAAATAATTCAAATTTCAATGAATTGATGATTTTTTTTTTGCATTTATAAATTACCTCAGCAATTCAATAATTAAACTACAGAATAGGTTTATATTTGATAATTAATTTCATGATTTCATATGCTTAATTTCATGGATATAGTGATAATTTAATAGAAATAAAAATGATTAAATTATTCAAAATTTAACCTTTATCTTCCTCCAATTAGCATAAATTAATCTTTTAAAAACAGAAAAAAAAACATATTGAAATGGTAGAAAAAGAAAATAGCTTAAATTTATGATAATTTAGCAAAAATTACAGATGATATGCAAGATGAATCAAAGAAATTACAAAAATTTGATCATAAAAATGAATGTTTTGGTAATTATGCATATCCAGCTAATTGTACAAATGAAAAATGTATTTATACGGTAACATGGTGGAGTGATGGGAAGAAAATTTCATTCTCATTAACGGCAATAATTTCAACATATCATTGGACTGGAATAGGTTTTTCAAATGATGGATCAATGGCACATTCTGATTTAATTACTGTCAATGTATATGATGTAAGTGTTCAAATAGAATTAAATTTAAACTTAAAAATAGATAAAATTTTACATTAACTACATTTTTGTCTAATTAATTAAAATTTTTATTTGATAAAGTTTAGATTTATTTAATTAAAAGTAAATACTAATATACACGAGTTAAATTGAGAAAATAGCTTAAATTTGAAATAATTCAGCAAAATTGCTTTTCGTTTTTTTTTCTTTTTTTTTAGCATATATTTAAAATAATAGCAAATAACGTAACATATGCACCGTTTGAATATTTGATTCCATAATTTTTCAGATAATAATAATCTAATTAATGCAATATACGAAAAATTGTTAGCATTAGTATTCCTATACAAAGTTTTTTTTTTTTATTAAACTTTGCTATAGCTTAATGTATTAAAAATTTTATCCAATGATTTTTAAAAATTTCTTTTAATGCTTTTTTTTTACACTCATTATTAATCCAATTTAATTTTATGATTATTCATAATTTGCCGAAATCCGAAATTTTTGCAATGAAAAAGAAAAAGGAATAAATTTAAAAATAAAAAAGAAAATTGAGAATAAATTTTTTGAAAAATTTAAAATTAAAATTAATTACAGGATGGAATGATCAAAGTTTTGGATATGTTTTCATCAGGTTATAGTCAACCTAAAATAGATGATGAACAAGATTTATTTGATATTCGAACATTATATGATCATGATCGAGTGTATGCTAATTTTTCGCGTTATTTAATTTCAAATGATAATAATGATCTTTCAATTGATCAATGTGTTTATTTCTTATATCCAATTACTGGAGGCATATTAGATATGGGTAAATTTTGTTTCTTTCTTTTCTTTTTTTCTTTTATTTCATCATTCAATAAGTACTAATTAATTAATCTTTTATACGTAATAATTGCCAATATTATTCAAATTATTATTGGATTTTTTTCTCCTCTTATTCCTTTACAGTAATATTATTTTATTGATCTTTTTTTCTTTTCTTTTTGTTATTTTAGGATACCATTAATTATTAATTATAGTTAATTTATTTTTAATATTTTTATTTAATCATTTTAATTCCTATTAAATTATCATTACTTTTGCATATTCAAATAATATATATTAAAATTACTTAAGTTATTATTTGAAGTGCTATATATTGTTAATTGTAGAAACGAATGAAATATATAAACATGAGGAAAATCCAATTTCATCTGAAACAAAAATTTGCCCAATATTATGCGCTAATAATTTGATAGCTAAAAAAATACCACAAAATGAACCACTTCATAAAGCATCTATCTTACCGGACGAATCGATTGTTACTGAAAGTGTAAGTTAGTGCTTTTTGAAATTCTTATTAATTTTAATCATATCAATTATTTTACGGTATATACAGTATACTAAACTAACATAATATTCTAGTTTCGTTTGCCCTAAATCTCAAAAAAAAAAAAAAAAAGTCGAGAAATTTACAAATTAATAAATCAATGTTTTTAATAAGGAAATAAATAAATAATCACTTACAAAAAAACTATTAATTCCATGTTTTACAATGTTAAACCAAAATTATACATGAGGGATGAAAGAAAAATGGAAAAAAGAAATAAACTGATAAAATGATAACATTTTGAAATGATAAATGATTAAGTAATATGATAGAATTAATATTTTTAAAATGGTAAAAATGAAATTTTATCAAAAAAGAATTTAAAAAAATTGTTTTTTTAAAATTACCTTGTTTGTTCCTTATTTAATAAATTTTAAAAATTCATTTGCATTGAAAAAAAACGAAAAAAGCATTAATTATGAAAAGTTTTAAATATTTTTAGGCTACATTTGATACGGTATTGCGCATTTTAAATCGTGAATGGAATCCATTTTTTACCAATCGAAATACTCCGGAATTTCATCAATTAGCTACTGAAGTAATCAATATGGTTAGTTTCCTTTTTTCCTTCTGATATAGTGATTTTTTCTTTTTAAGAATAAAGATTTTGAGCGAAATAAATTTCAGGTTAATGCAATGGTGAAAATGGAATATCCACGAATGCGAGTAATTGAAATTAAAAAATTCAAGTAAGCAATCATTTTTTTGAAGAAATAAATAACTTTTAAAATATTAAATGAATTAAATGGAACAATTTTGAAGATTAAAGATTGGTAATATTTAATTAGTATGAGGCTAAAAAATAGTTTAATTATTGCTGATGGTAAATCATTCAATTAAAATTCAATGAATACATAGTATGAAGTTTATAAAGTGATGTTTATTATAATAATTAATTTGATTTTTTCTTTTTTCTTTTGCTTTAAATATCCCAAAAGATAACGAAAATTGCTCTTCCCATACAATTCTAAATTGTCTTTTTGGTAAAAATTAGTGCGGAAAAAACTTTAATTAATTTTATAATATATTCAAATTTTAGAAAAGGAAGTATCTTAGCATTTATGACACTTTTCTCCGAAGATGATCCTTTACCAAGTGAAAATGAAGTGAAGGAATATTTAAGGAAGGTTGAAATTTAAAAAATTATTTTCATATCGACCTATATATTATTTATTTAATTTCTTTTTGTTTTTGTTTTTTTCAAGTAACAGAATGAAAAAAAAATTAAATAAATTTGTTTGAGATTGTAATTTTTCTCTTTTCTATTACAAATGAAGTAATAGAAATATTTAATATAAAACTTTATTTTTATTGTAAAAAATTTTTATCTTAGCAAGTTCAATTCCAACCACCGGAAGCATTGCATATGGAAATAGCATCAGTGATTGCAAGAAAAGCAGAAAAAGGTTAATTATTTCACTTTTCATTTCATCTGATCTCATCAATCCTTGTTTATTCTTAAATTTCATCAAACATCAACAACATATGTACATGGTACCAATGGTATCAGTTTATGATACATATCCTATTTGGTACGTATATGTGGTGGTACCAAATGTATCATTTTATGATACATCTGTATGGTTCCAGTCGTATCAGTTTATGATACATATATACGGTATCGAAAATATCAACTTATGATATCTATGGTACCAACTGTATCAGTTTATGATGAATACTATATAGTGCCAATTGTAGCAATTTATGATACATATATGTAGAATCAACTATAGTAGTTTATGATACATATGCATAGTATCAACTATAGCAGTTTATGATGAATACTATATAGTGTCAACCGTAGCAGTTTATGATACATATGTACAGTATCAAACTGTAACAGTTTATGATACATATATGCAGTACCAATTTATGATACATATATACAGTACCAAACTATAGTTTATGATACACATATACAGTGCCAATTTATGATACATATGTACAGTGTCAAACTAGCAGTTTATGATACATATATACAGTACCAGTTTATGATACATATATACAGTATGGTGAATATTATATGGTACCAACCGTATCATTTCTCATGTATTAGGATACTTTGCAGATTCATCAAACAAATTGAGCAAAATTCAAAATTGGATTGTCTTAAGTATCGGTATATTGCTATTTCTTATTGCTACATTTCTTGTTTGTTGTATTGTTAGCCGTTCACGAAAGATACGGTCGGATAATTGTGTAAGCTAATTCTTCACTTTTTTTTTTTTTTTGCTATCAATCTTTAGTAAAAAATTATTTGAAATGTACTTTTTTAGTAAATCAATACCAGTAGTAATAGTAAATAGAGTAATACTTATAAAATCAATAAGTATTGTTATACTATAAATTAATAACATTGAAATTTTGATCGTTTAATGAGAAGAAATGAAATTATTAATTAATTTTTATGACTATAAATTAGTATAAAATATAACAATAGGTTCTAACATTTTTTTTCTATTCAGTAAATCAATTCTAATTATAATATCATTATTTACCTGTCTTCATTAATTTTTCTTTTCTTTTATTTTTTTTTTTCAGAATAATTATAATGTACATTATCCAATGAATGGATATGGATGCAATACTAATCGTATGTTTTTTTTTAATTGAATCAAAAATTTTTATAATATTATAAATGTTAAAATCAGCAAAAATTTTCATCGATCTAACAAATAATTATAAATTAAATAATTAAATTTAAAAAAGAAAAGAAAAATAATTTCTTTAAATTTTCCGCAATTTCCTCAAAAAATTAATTAACCTTTCATCTAATTAATTAATTTTAATACGGAAAAGAAACGTAGAAAGTTTGTTGCATCATTATATTTAGTTGCTGTTTCACCGTTGAATAGCAAAAAAGGTAGTTTTGAAAATGCCGCATATCATGCAACACATAGCAGACAATTTTCACAAGCAACAACAGCTTCTCAAAATGGTACCAGTAAAGGATCACCGAATACCTTGGAAGAAATCCCGAAAGGTGTTGGTGAAACAACTTATCAAGAATGGTTTTCTAAGGTGAAAATATTTGATTGAAAAAGAAAATGGAAAATAAGAAATTATTAATGACAACTAATTAAACTATTTAAGCAATTATGATATAAATTAAAAATGAAATAAAAAATTCTCCATGTAAACGTAGCTAAATCTAATTAACTTTAAGTAATAGGTGATTTAATTAATTTTAGGTGATAAAGGTGATAAAAGTATAAAATTTTTATTCTTAAATAATTAATGCTTTATAAATTTATAAATGATACTATTGTATTTCATCTTTTTTCCTTTTTCTTTTTTTATAACTTTTTTAACAAAAGTAAGTTGAAATAGTATTTAATATTCAATCACTCTTCCCTTTTTTTCTTTTTTGTTTTTATAGATTTGATTAAATAATTTATTTTTATTACTTATTTGAATAGATTAAGTAAGTATTAAGTTATCAACTATTTGTCATGTTTCACAAATTTTATGCGCATTTGTCTTAATTTTTCAAATGAATAATTAATTAATTTCGTTACACTTTATTGTAGCCAGTAATTTTATTTAGGTTGCTTCAAAAACCTGGTGCACAACAACATGAAGAATTATCATCACCTTCTGTTCGTCATCCAAATTTCTCGGCGATCTTTTACTGGACCATCTTATATGTCACATGCTCAGG